AAAAAAAAGAAAAAAGAAAAAGAAAATACTAAAATCCATCAATATTATTTTGTATCAGAACACCTCTAACGACAGAAGACTATTTTATGAGACAGCGCTTTAGGAATAAAAGATAAACCAAGTAGTGAGTGCTAGTAACAAAATAATTGGAGAGAAAAGTTGCCTTGATCGATTTCCGGTTGAAGGGTTCAGCTCTGAATTTACATTAATATTGCTTCCAGTCTCAGTGCCAGTGCTTCTAACATAGGGTTTCCTTCCCGTTGCTGATAAAGGCTTATTTACTGCACCTAGTACTCCAGCAGGCTTTGGCTAAAAACAAAAAGAAAAAACCCCCCGCAAAACACACACGTTTATATCTTACCATGTATACATGTAAATTTAGACAAAAGTAAGAGATATTGTTAAATGCTAATTAGTTAAATTTATCAGAAATGTTCATTCTGGGCCAGGCACAGTGGCTCCTGACTATAAATCCCAGGACTTTGGGAGGTGGATCACTTGAGGCCAGGAGTTCAAGACCAGTCTGGCCAACACAGTGAAACCCAACCTCTACCAAAAACATAAAAATTAGTCAGGTGTGGTGGTATAAGCTTGTAGCCCCAGCTACTTGGGAGACTGAGGCACAAGAATTGCCTGAACCCAGGAGGTGGAGGCTGCAGTGAGCTGAGATTGCACCACTGTACTCCAGCCTGGGCGACAAAATGAGATTGTCTCAAGAAAAAAAAAAAGTTCATTCTGTAAAATTGTGTTTGGCTGCCTTAATACAATCAAAAGTCATAAGCGTATCTCTACTTAATAATAACTAGGTAATATTGATTTCTCCTTTATTATTCAATCAAAATACAAAGTTCCCCTAAAATACAGCAAAATACATAATAAACGCTCCTATAAACAAACTATTGGAGATATATATAGAGAGTAATACTTTAGGAATTGTTTACAAAAAACTAAATTTCCTTTTGCTGTTCTAGGTGTCACCGTATTACTTATATAGAACATGAATTATCTTAATTCATTAGTAGTATAAAATTATTTCTTTTATCTTATATACCTAAGTTGGTTATAGCATTTCCCAGGAAAGCCTTCTTTGTGAATTGTAAATAAACTGTGCTTAACATTACTGATGAGAACACACAGTGGCAATTCAGAAGAGTGGTTGCTGGCAGAAAAAGTCTAAAAGCATGGCTGCTTTAGATGCTTTAAATCCATAATGTGATCCCTAAGAATCAGGAACTATATAATCTAGTGGTCATTTAAAGGTATTTCTAGGAATAGCAGAAGCAATATACACATGAAACAAAGATCTCAAAATTATTAAGTACATAATACCTTTCCTGTTAACAGAAGTACTCTTGTCTCTTCTGAAATATAACTCTTATCATTACAGAAGTCCTATTAATAAAAAAAAAAAAAAAAAAAAAAAAAAAAAAAAAAAAAAAAAATTAACTTTACTTAGATCCATTATTTAAAAAATGTTTTTTAAGCAGAAAAAAAAAAAAATTAACTTTACCTTATTCTTTACTGGGTCAATATTCTTTACAGGTGTGACTGAAATAATCCTCACAGGGTTCTCTTCATTTTCACTAACTCCAGTTTCTGCTGCCTCTGAACTCTGTTCCCTGTTTAAGACAAATAAACCAAGACTTCATATTTCCATGAAGAGAAAGTTCACTCTCTCACCTAAACCAATTAAAAAAGGCTTAGGATGGTTTCGAAATTTGGACAAATGAAGCAACAATAGCAAGATTCGGATATTCTGTAGTTACAGACTATTGCTTTAAAAATACCATTTTCCGGCCGGGCGCGGTGGCTCAAGCCTGTAATCCCAGCACTTTGGGAGGCCGAGACGGGCGGATCACGAGGTCAGGAGATTGAGACCATCCTGGCTAACGCGGTGAAACCCCGTCTCTACTAAAAAAAATACAAAAAACTAGCCGGGTGAGGTGGCGAGCGCCTGTAGTCCCAGCTACTCGGGAGGCTGAGGCAGGAGAATGGCGTAAACCCGGGAGGCGGAGCTTGCACACGCCAGCCTGGGTGACAGAGCAAGACTCCATCTCAAAAAAAAAACAACAAAAAAAAACCATTTTCCATTTAGCTTTGATAAAGTGGTATCTATTTCCATTTTGTCTTAATAACATTAAGACAGAAATGACTGCCTAAGACTACCTGATAAAAGGGTTAATTGTCAAGAGACAAAATAATACAACTATTGTAAACTTTATCTTTTGGGAATAGAAAATCCTAAAACAAAAATAAAACCACAGACCATAGTATAGTTGTCATTTCCATAGTGTTCTACAAAAAAGGGGGCTGTCAGAAGAGGCTATTTGGTAGGTAATTGAGGCCCCACTATTCTTTAAACCACATTAATTGATTTTATATCTTGGGCTTCATTTTTGCGAAAAGTGGTTTAAAACATCACTGGTTGAGTTTATTCTTAAGATTTCATGTGTATGAACAATATCTATAAAAACCACAATAGTAAACGTTCCTATGAGTAGGGTCAGAAATGATAAAGGTTTGACGTGACA